AGCTCTTTCTCCAAAATCAAACCCTAATTTTCTGTCACCCATCACCACCATAGTAGGCCATTATCCTACCATTGAAAGTTGAATGGGTAAAAATTTGAATGATGTGTCACTAGTATAAAGGCTGTGTGATCTATTAAGTTATCATGAAGCATCAAAGCAAAGGGCAAAGCCTACATTGACTTTTTATCCAGAAGTTAGAGTTTATTGTATATATTAGCTCTAGAATTACTACAATTATCCAAGTAGTAGATACCATTAAACAAACTATAACTAATGTAACGAGCCATTCATAATTTCACAGTTTGAATTAGTTCACACTTACACATGCATGGCTTAATCTTTGAGACAAGCATATGACTACTGGCAAGATCAACCAAGTAGCATTCGTTCAGGATGTTGGCACTGCATAGGACTTAACACATTGACTGCATGACAGAGAGAGCCAATAGGGAGTATAAGCATCATGCATGTCAAGCACGTAAAATGTATAGCATCAGATGAACAAGGGCTGAGAGCCTATGCCTACAAAATGTTCTACTTCCAAGCGCTCGATCAAACACTAGTGCATTAGTGTGGCCATAGAGGTTTGGGTGGCACACTTAGGACACAAGGAATGATTAAGTTTGACCCATAACCCATAAGGACACACGACGGATAAGGGATTGCAAGACATTTAGTTTCCATCGATTTAGATATGTAGCATAAGATCTCAATTATGCCCTTAGGGTACGATGACCATATGGTAGAGATTGAAGAGGATGATGGGTCGACAGTTTGATGCATAGAGTATAGAGCCTGCCAGCACACACAATTATAGCACCACTCATACGTCTATTGCATACAAGTGGTAGCATCCATGCACACTGGTCCATAACCCACCCAATTGATTACTCGATAAGTGAGTGAAAGAAACAATGTACAAGGCCATGCCACAACTACTTAGCATGGGAAAAATGTAAGCAAGGGTCATGAGACTGCCTCTACTATCCAATAGGCAACAATAGTATAACACCATTAATGCTTGGTCTAGCTGGGGCTACACACGTAAACCTTGTTGTCACCACTCTAAGGGGATGTTGCCCGATTTAGAGACATGTTCTTACAATCTTAGGCAATAGTGATTGCATGCATGGGCTTAGCCAGGCTAAGGCATTTTTGTGGTCAATGAGAAAGGACTAAGAGATTACCAAATACCCGAGAGAGTTGGCAAGACCAAGCTTGCGACTGTAGCTTCTACTTTTACTACCTCAAAGAGTCGTTGCCTGATTTAGAGACTTGGTTTGGTTTCTGAGGCAGCATCAGCCATAAGCATGGGCTTGAGCTTAGCAAAGCCAAGCCTTTTTTCTGCATGCATACCAACAAGTCAAGGCCATGGGCATTTACTAGTCATCAAAGGAACTAGTCATTAGACAACATGACCAAAAGGCATACACAGCCTGGATTTTGCTTCAGGGATATTGCTATGGATGTACGTAATGACAGTCCTATCATGCACACTTTCTCCATTTATGAGGGAAGAAAGGGTTCCTGAACAACCATCCCCTAAAAGCATAAGAGATTTTATAGATATGCTAGCTATAGACAATAAAGTATCTATAATGGGGACACTTTTTTCAAACAAGTATATCTCACACCAAGGGTTTGCAAGTGCCAATAGTGGTCGAGGCATGTGCATATAACAAGGCCTAGCATGTGTCGATGATGTTCAAGACAAGTGCTATAGTAAGGGCTAGCATGTGCCAATGGTATTTGAGGTAACTGCTCGAACCAAGGGCCATCTTCTACCAATGCTGATGAAGGCATATGCCAACACTAGGTCTAGATTATGCTAATGCTAATCGAGGCATGTACCCACACCGAAGGCTAGCATATGCCAATGATGGTAGAGGTAGGTGGTCATACCAATGGCCAGCTTATACCGATGGTGGTTAAGATAGGTGCCCATACCTAAGACTAGATTTTGCCAATGGTGGTCGAGATAGGTGCTTGTACTAAAGGCTAACTTATGCTAATGATGCTCGAGGCTTGTGCCTACACCATGTGCCAGTGTCACAGCCTGCAAAAGTATAAACCAAACTAAGGTTAATACTTTTAAAAAGGCCCTAAATGGACTAGGCCTTGGTGTAGGTAGACTAAGCCTAGGTGTAGGCATACCAAGCCACAGCAACCTAATAAATAAAACTTTTTACAAAGATCTAGAAATTCTTAAAGATAGTATAGTTCCCTATACAATTTAAACTCTTGATGTATATCTCATGTAATCTCTTTGTAATCTTAGACTCTATAATAACAATTAGATTGAGTGAATCTCAGCCATTGATTCATGGGGGCTTCAACTATAAATATAAGGCCTCTTCAACCTCATTTGATGTATAGAAACATTTGAGTGAATACAAGTAATAGCATTTCCAAGCATGTCTTGCTTTCTAGCCTTTTCTAGCTTTAGAATGCCTTTCAGTGTTCTTTTGAGTGCTTACTCTTTGAAAGTGTTTTCAGGTTGACTTAGGCATACAAGGAGGGAGTCCAGCTAATGCTACATAGAGCATTGGCATAAGTTTTAGGCCTATGATAGTTGGTATTAGAGCAGGTTCTGTTTCAAGGTCATTCCATTTTGCACTCAAGGTGTTCAAGGAAATGGCATCTCAAAGTGATGTTGGTAGCCAACATCCAAAGGTCTAGGAGTGAGCCCATGAAAGGGGAAAGAAGGCTACTTCAAGGGACATGATGTTGACTTTGGATGGCCACTTAGCCAAGGTAGGGGTGATAATGTTAGACTTTAGGGAGATGTTTGAGGAGACCAAAGAGGAGATCAAGGAAGGATTCCATGATGCCCTTAACGAAACCATTGACATGTTCACCTAAAAGAATAAGGCCTTGGAGGCCTAGGTTGAGATGATGAGCAAGAAGATGAATGAGCTTAAAAGAGAGGTCACAGCATGCAAGGTAGCCATTTTGAATGGTGTATTAGCTATATTAGCTTAGGCTTGAGTGGAAGTTCTTAACCAAAGAAGTACAAGGGAACTCAGTCTACAAAGGATATGGATAACTTTTTATGGGGAATGGAGCAGTACTTCTAAGCCATAGGCACAATGAGAATGCCACTAAGGTAAGCACAACCTCAATGTATTTGGTTGCCATTACATTATTATGGTGGAGGCACATGTGTAATGATACAAGCCTTGGAGATTCTATTGTTTGGACTTGTAAAAAGTTCAAGATAGAGTGTAAGCAACAGTTCTACCTTGTGTATGCTAATGATGTGGCAAGGGCAAAGATCCATAGACTTAATCAAAAAGGTATGGTGTGAGAGTATGTTTATGAGTTTTTAAAACTAATGCTCTAAATTTCAAATCTTAGAGAGGAGGAAGGTCTCTTTTGTTTCATGGATAGATTCAAACTATGGGCCAAGAATGAGTTGGAGTGAAAGGTTGTCAAAGATCTAGCCAAAGCCATGATAGCTATTGAGTCCTTGGTAGAGATCTAGCCATAGAAGAAATCTAAGTCATTCAAACCAAAAGGTAATGGCAGAGACCAATAGTCTAAGTAAGGAGACAAAGATCGACAGTTAAAGGATGGGAACAAAGGTTGACAAACCAAGAATTGTCAACGTAAGTCACCATCGAGGAAGTAGAAACCAAGGTAGAGGAACAACAAAGATCGTGAGCCACTCATTTATTTCATTTATGAAGGTCCACACATGTTAAGCAACTACCCTAAGAAAACCAAGCTATCTGCCATCAACAAAGAGGATTATGAGGGGCCAGAGAAGGAGACCATGAAGCTTGGCTTGATTGTGCTGAATTTAGTATAAGCAAAAAGATGTTGCAAGTAGAAAGAATTGATGTTTGTAGACATGATGTTCATAAGAGCATCTCACTTGTTCATATCTAGAGATATAGCCCAGAAGCTAAACCTAAAGGTGTAGAAAAGGGTTGGTATGATTAAAACAATCAACTCCAAGGAGGTGCCAATAATTAGAATAGCATATGGAATGGAACTACAACTTTGTGAGTGGAAAGGCAAGGAATCAATTGAAGAAATTCTTCTAGATGATTATGGCCTTGTTGTTGGTTTAAAATTCCTTGACTGTATTAGTGCACTTGTGATGTCTTTTGCCAATATATTTGCATATTAGACTATTGATACCCCTGTATTATGCTAGTGAGACGAGAATTAGGGTCAGGGACCAAGATGCTATTTGCTATATAGCTGGCCAAGGGAGAGAGCAAAAATGAAGACACTTTCATTGTAGCCATAAAGATGGAAGAGTCCAAGCAAAATGGTGTTGACACCTCTTTGGAAGAACTAGAGGTGCTAGAATCATTTAGCGATGTGATGCCTAATTAATTGCTTATGAGGCTACCACCAAAGAAAGAGATGGATCATAAAATTAAGCTGGTGTCAAATGTTGCCCCACCAACCAGAGCCCTATATTGAATGTCACCTCGAATGTTGGAGGAGTTACAATAATAGCTCAAGGAGCTTATTGACGCAACCTACATTAGACCATCAAAAGCCCCATTTGGTGCCCCGATGATGTTCCAGCAGAAACATAATATGTCCTTGTGACTATGTATAGATTACAAGGCACTGAACAAACTGATAAGTCAAAACAAGTACCCAATCCTACTCATTATAGATTTGTTTGACCAACTTGGAAATGCTAGGTGGTTCACCAAGCTAGACTTACGGTCAAGGTACTACCAAGTCAAAATTACTGAAGGGGATAAGCCTAAGATAACTTGTGTTACTTGTTATGGATCTTATGAGCTCTTGGTGATGCTTTTGACCTTGACTAATTTGTTAGCAACATTTTGCATCTTAATGAACAAGGTATTGTAGCCATTCCTAGATCATTTTATTATAGTTTATCTTAATGATATTGTGATTATAGTCGGTCATTAATAAAGTACGCGGAGCACCTTTGGCAAATGTTCTAGGTACTATGGGAAAATAAGTTGTTCATGAAAAATGAGAAATGTTCCTTTGCTTAGAAAAAGATGCCATTCTTAGGCCATATTATTGGTGATGGTAAGATCCAAATGGATGGAAGCATAGTCCAGGCCATACTAGATTGGGAGCTGCCAACAAAGGTCACAAAGCTAAGATCATTCCTTAGATTGGTAAACTATTATAAGTGCTTCATCAAAGGCCATTCTACCATCACCAGACCTTTGACAGACATGCTTAAGAAGGGGAAAGTGTGGGATTGGAGTCAAAAGTGCTAGCAAGCCTTTGATCGATTGAAGCATATAGTGATTGAAGAGCCTATTCTTGCTTTGTTTGATCACACTAAGCCATATGATGTGCATACAATTGCATTAGACTTTACCATTGGATGGGTGCTGTTGCAAAAGAACTATCCGATTGCTTTTGAGACTAGGAGCTCAATAAGATAGAGCATAGGTACATGGTCCAAGAAAAAAAAATGACAGCGATGGTACACTATTTATGCACATAGAGACATTACCTATTAGGATCTAGATTTATGGTTAGAACTAATAATGTTGCGACATACTATTTCTAGACTCAAAAGAAATTGTCTCTCAAGCAAGTTAGATGGCAGGATTTCCTTGTAAAGTTTGATTTTAACATGAGTATAAGCCTAGAAAGGCTAACTTAGTGGCTGATGCACTTAGTAGGAAGGTGATGCTTGCTACCATCAATCAACCTAATAGTTCTTTAGAGCTATACACTAAAGAGGGATTGGCCCATGATCCTATAGCTAAGATGCTCATGAAGAATGCCTAAAAAGATAAAACTAGATTTTTTAGTTGTAGGATGACTTACTTTTCACCAAAGGGAACATGATATTTATGTTGCAACATGGAAAACTCTATAGGGAAGTTATGCAAGAATGCCATGACTTAAGGTGGGCTGGCCACCCTAGAGTACACCACACCTTAGACTTGGTGCAAGACCAATACTACTAGCTTCAGATACAAGATGACATTGAGGTTTATGTCAAAACTTGTCTTGTTTACCAACTAGACAAGGTGGAGTAGAAGTTACCAACAAGTTTATTAGAGCCATTGTCTATATTGGAGCACTGGTGGGAAAGCATTTCATTGGATTTTATAGTTAGACTACCCAAGTCAGATGGGCTTGGGATCATCATGGTAGTGGTGGATCGATTTTCCAAGTATGGAACATTCATTCAAGCAACCAAGGAGTGCCTAACCAAAGAGGTAGCCCACTTATTCCTAAAGAATGTGGTGAGGTATTAGGGCTTACTACATCATTAGTGATCGAGATGGGCATTTTACTGGGTGATTCTGGATAGAGTTATTCAAGCTATTAGGGTCAAACTTAAACTTTTCCACCAGCGTGAATCCACAAACAGATGGGCAAACCAAGTGAGTTAAAGGTTTATGTAAGGTCTACATCTAACACTATATTAGTGTAACATAATGAGACTGGCCCAAGTTGCTGGAAATTGCCCAATTTTCTTATAACTTGTAGTGGAGTCAGGTAACAAACTATAGTCCATTTGAGTTAGTGATAGACCAGCAACCACTCATTCTAGGAGCTATTATAGCAAGTTACACTGGAACAAATCCAATGGCTTATAGGTTTACCAAGGCTAGGCAAGAGCAAGCAAACTTTATAAGAATCTATCTACACAAAGTAACCAAAGAAAAAAAAGAAGTGGGTAGATTGCAATCGATAAGATATGCAATACTAGGTTGGGGACTTGGTAATGGTAAAGCTGCACTAAGTCTTATGACATAAAGACATGCATAAGGGCCTAGTCTAGAGATATGATGGACCTTTAGTGTTCTGAAGAGAATAGGTAAGGTAGCTTACAAGCTGAAAATACCACCAAAGCCTAAGGTACATCCAATTTTCCATGTCTACATGTTAAAACCATTTCATGATGATCAAGAAGATCTAGTACAAGTAGAGTCGTAGTGTGCACCTCAGGGGATAAAGGCCTCATATCACAAAAGGGTCTAGTGCATTTTAGCTGACAATGTTTTAAGGTGATAGAATTACAGGCCAAGTCATGAGTATTTTGTGCAATGGAAGGGAGTTCCTAATAAAAAGGCAAGATGGAAAGCAGTTAAAGATCTTTGGTAATTAGAGGACTAGATCAACCAATTTCATTGAAAGGATGCAACGAGGGCAACATGGAATCAGGTTGGGAAGAGTGTCACTGCTCATGCAAACTTAACCTAGACCCAGGTTGGCACATCTGAAAAGGCCCAAGATAGACCAGGCCCTAGTGTAGGTAGACTAAAGCCACCGTGTAGGCGCATTGGCCATAGTAGTCCCAACAAATCACTAGGCCCAAGCAAACCTAACTGAGAGAACTTTTTAGAAGGATCTAGAGACTCTTAAGGATAATATAGTTCCCTATACAATTTGAACTCTTAATGTATATCTCATGTAATCTTTTTGAAAATCTTAGACTCTATAATAGCCATTGGATTAAGTCAATCCTGCTATTGATTCATAAGGGCTTCAACTATAAATAGAGGGCTCCCCACCTTCATTTGATGTATAAAAAATTTAAATGAACATAAGTTATACCATTTTTAAGCATCTCTTGCTTTCTAGCCTTTTCTAGCTTTAGAGTGCTCACTCTTCGAAAGTGTTTTTAGCCTAACTTAGGCATGCAAGGAAGGAGTTTGGCCTAAGGCCACATAGAGCAGTGGCATAAGTCCCAAGCCTATAACACCAGCATGTGCCAATGATGGTCGACGTCTTAGCCAAAGTTTGATTCTGGGCCACGGTGCACATGTTGGGCTTAGGCATATATTGGTGTTGTATTGTTTGCCTAGGGCACCATCGCTGAAGCATGGTTAGAGAACCTGATCGGTAGCATTCGGGTTTTGAAGATTAGGGGAGGAGGGCCAGGAAGTGCACGCACATGATGTGTGATGGTTGCTAGACCTTAGCCCTTATATTGTCCCTTTATCCCTCAAGGAACCTTGGCAACTCACACCCCCTTAAAAAGCAAAAAGCTTTTACAAGTTCATAGCTAGTAGCCATTCAAATGTTTGAATGGGGATGCTTTTTTCAAATGGCCGCAAAATCTTTTACACTTCAATTTTTTAGCTAAATTTTTTTATGGATGCCAACAAAAATACAAGGATCACATATACCAAAATTTGGGCCAAAACACCTTCTACAAAATTTCAAAAACTCCTGAACAGTAAAAAATTTTAAAAATTATGAAAAATAAAAAATAGGTCATCTTATCGTGAAACTTCATAAGAAGGCTTAGGGGACAGTTATATGAATTTACAAGCTATAAAAATGGCATTGGCATTGCAAAAATGTGAAGATATACCTAAACCTACTTACTTCCCCTATCATTGCATACATGGTGCGTAACCCAGCAAGTGTCGATGCTGTTTTGAGAAACTACCTGTACAAAGGGCTAACATGTGCTGATGGTGGCCAAAGCATGTATAGAGACCAAGGGCCAACATGTCTCAATGGTGGTTAAGACATGTGCATATGTCACGATCTACAAGCTGGTCCAGACCTAAGAGTTTTCTCTAAGTTGAAGAGTAGTTCTAATTCAAGCAAGATAGAGTTGACAGCCAACAAGACTAGGCCTTGAGGCATGCTAAAGGTCTAGGTCATAGGGAACTAGCCTAGAATAATGGTATGAGCAGTGATTAAGACTCCAAAGGCTTAAGCTTGATGTTTAAGTTTGGTAGAATTAAGCCAAGCCTAGGTATGGGTACTGGTGAGTGTTATATGAATTTACAAACCATAAAAATGGCATTGGCATAGCAAAAATATAAGGATGTTCTTGAACCCCCTGCTGTCTGGTAGTGGTATGCATGGTGCATGGCCTAGGCCCAAGATACCTATGCTTGGTGCGTAGCCCAACATGTGCCAATGGTGTTCAAGGGAACTGTCGAGACAAAAGGCTAAGATGTGCTGATGGTGATCTAAGCAAGTACTAAGACTAAGGGCCAACATGTCCCAACAGTGGTATGAGGTATGTGAATGTGTCATGGTCCACAAGCTGGTCCAAGCGTAGGGGTTCTCTCTAAGTTAAAGGGTAGTTCCAATTTTAGCAAGACAAAGTTTGAAAACTAGAGGGACCATGCCTTGAGGGGCACTAAAGGTCTAGGTTATGGGAACTAGCCCAAAACAGTGGTATGATGAATGATCAAGACTCTAACGACTCATGCATGAAGTTCTAGTTCAATAAAATTGAGCTAGGCCTAGGTACAAGCGTGGTGAGTGTTTTATGAATTTACAAGCCATAGAAATGGCATTGGCATAATAAAAATATGAAGATGTGCTTGAACCCACTTACTGCTCGGTTGTGGTACACATGGTGTGTGGCTTACGCCCAAGATCCTCACTCTTGGTGCATAGCCTAAGATGTGCCAATGGTGTTCAAAGGAACTACCCACATAAAAGTCCAACATGTGTTGATGGTGGTCAAAGCATGCCAAGACCAAGGGCCAACATGTTCAAATGGTGATCATGGCAAGTGCATGTGTCATGGTTTACAAGCTAGTCTAGGCCCAAGGGTTTTTTTCAAGTCAAGAAGTAGTTTTAGCTCTAGCGAGATAAGGTCTAACACCAAGAAGACCAAGCCTTGAGGAGTATTAGAGGCCTAAGTGATGGGGAACTAGCTTAGAACAGTAGTATGGGTAGTGTTCAAGACTCTAAAGGCTCAAACACTATGTTTAAGTTCTGTAAAATTGAGCCAAGCCCAAATGCAAGCGCCAATGAGCTCTTATATGAATTTACAAGCCATAAAAATGGTATTGGCATGGTAAAAATATGAAGATGTGCTTGAACCCATCTACTACCCGATTGTGGTGTGCATTGTACATTTCCTAGGCCTACCATGTGGCCCAGCAAATGCTAATGGTGTTCAAGGGAACTGTATGCAAAAAGGCCAACATGTGCCAATAGTGGTTGAAGCATGTGCCAAGACAACATGTCCCGATGGTGTTTGAGGCATGTGCATGTGTCATAGTCTACAAACTAGTCTAAGCCCATGGGTTTTCTTTGCGTTAATGAGCAGTTCTAATTCTAATGGGACATTGCCAGGGGCACCAAGCATTAAAGCCTACTGAAGGATTAGGTTGTGGGAAACTAGCCTAGAATAATGGTATAGCAATGATAAGACTCTAGAGGCTTAGACATAGTGTTCAAGCTTGGCAGAATTGAGCCAAGCCTAGGTGTAGGCATTGGTGAGCACTTATATGAATTTACAAGCCATAAAAATGGCATTGGCATGGCAAAACTATGAAAATGTGCCTAAACCCATCTATTGCTCGATCATGGTATGCATGGTGTGTGGCCAAGCCAAGGATACCATTGTATGGTGCTTGGCCCAACATGTACTGATGGTGTTCATGGGAACTGCCTATATATTGGGCCAACATGTGTCGATGGTGGTCAAACCATATACCAAACCAAGGGGCCAATAATTCTCGATGATGGTCAAGGCATGTGCATGTGTCACGGTCTACAAGTGTCACAGACCGTATTGAGTTTAGGACCAAGAGGGTCATGTGACAAGACTTGCTAGAGATGGTATGGGCAATGGACCAAGAAGGATCAGAACTGAGGCTATAAAGGTGCATACTTTATGCAAATGTGTAGGCTAAGGGTAAGGTCGTAGTGTAAAAGTACACTTGAAGTGAGCTGAATGGTGTCAAAAATAAGGATTGCTCATTGGAAAGTTCTAGAATATCCTAGGATGTGGTGTGGGTAGTTAGGCATAAAATGGCCCAAAACCACTTGGAGAGATAAGCTAAGTGAACAGGCATGGAATCTTTTAGATAAGCTTGGAGATAAGCTAGGCCCACAGGTATAAAAGAGTCTAAAAAAGCCTAGAGGTAGGCTAGATGCATAGGCATCTAGCCTACCTCTATGGCTAGGTGTGGGCATAGTGCCAGGCACTATAGTGCCTAGACAAGGAAGTCTTTAGAAAGCCATAGCTATAGACAAAATGGTGCGTAAATGGAGAAGGCTCTGAAAGCCACTAGGCATGGGCATTCAGCAAGAGTACTCGAACACTTCTAGACGTAGAGCTCAGTAGAAAACCTAAAACTAATAAAAATCTAAAGAGGTCTTAGTCGAACCTATTTGAGCTTA